AACAATGTGAAGCTCAATTCACTCAAACTACATATCAGAATTGTTAAGCCAACTTGGCATCATAATATTTTTCTTTTTTATATGTATTAATATTAACTAATGTTATTTTTTAAATTAGAGATCAATCAAGTGTAACAAATGTTCTGTATCACGATAGAATAATCAATTGTAACAATTTATTTGTAACATTTGTATTGTTTTTAAAAACCTGTTTTTACATTGTTGTTGTGGTTTTTTTTTTATATACGAAGAAAATAAAATTATGGTTCGTGCGTTCACGTGCTTAACGAATTATCAATTGTCGATTTTTTAATTTATTTTTCAATTTTAACAAACCCATTCGAACCGTGGGTAAAAAAAGGAGGTGAATTGGTGCAAGAGCTCAGTATTTAAGGTTTGATCATAAACTAGGAATACTTTACAATTCACTCTTTTTTACATTGGCGACCGTGACAGGACACCGTTTTGCATAAACGTTGACAAACGTGCACTGAAACCTTACATACGGATTTCGTGCATTGTTGGTGTTTTTTCGTTAAACGTGAGCAAGTGATCACAGAACTGTTACGTGGATAATTTTCATTTGCTGTAATAATGTCTGAACCATCTTTATCATCAAATACCGGTAGTCAAGGTAATGCCTCAAATAATAATGTTTCTAATCCTGTTCCAAATATAGATGAGCTTAGACAGCAACGTGCGTCTTCAAAGGGGAGCCTTACACGAATTAAGAACATTATTGATGCGTCAAATAATTTGTCTCCTACTGAACTTGAGTGCAGGTTAGGTATGGTCGAATCGTATTATAAACAAGCATCGTATTATCAAGGTCAAATTGAACGTTTGTTACCACAAGATACATGTCGCTCGGAAATTGACGAACTATATGTCATAGTAAAATCACGTATTCTAAATCTTCTCGGCAACAGAAGAAGCTCACAATCACATGAACATACATTTTCAATGCCTCAAATGCAGTACAATCGTTTGCCTAAATTACGTTTGCCGAGATTTGATGGCAAATATCTCGAATATAAAAATTTCATAAACTCTTTCACGAATCTAGTTCACAGCGATCAATTCATTCCACCTATTGAGAAGTTCAACCATCTGTTATCGTGCCTATCCGGCGAAGCTTTGTCAACAATTAAGTCGTTCCAAGTAACTGAAGAAAACTATGGCAAAGCACTAGACAGATTGAAAGAGCGGTATGACAATGATACAATCATTTTTTTAGAAAACATTTCATCTATTTTCGAAGTGGATAAAATTTCTAAGGCTGATTCTAAACAACTTAGACATATCACTGATACTATCTCAGCTTTGTACAATTCGTTACAATCACTTGGAAGTTTTGAAAAAATTTGTGATGCAATTATCATACATCTTACAATTACCAAAGTTGATCAAGAAACTAAAAAGAAATGTGATGAATATTTAGATAACTCTAATCTTCCATCTTGGAAACAATGTTGTGCTATGCTTGATAAGCGATGCCAACAACTCGATGCTCAAACGAGGCATAGTGTGAAACCGCAATCAATTCAAACTTATCAGCCGCATTCATTACAAAAGGTTAGCAAGCCAAAGCAGTATTCATTTGCGATCAAAAATATTCCTGAAAGGTCGTGTACATATTGTTCCAAATTAGGTCATAATATTTCTACTTGTATCAATTTCATCGCACTTCCATTAGAACAACGTCGTGATCAAGTACAACAGCACCAATTGTGTTTCAATTGTTTATCAAACCTCCACACTGTATCACAATGTAGCTCAAAATATTCTTGTCGATTTTGTAAACAACGTCATCATACGTTGCTCCACAAACATGATTTAAATACGTTTGTAAATTCTAACATTTCATCATCAAGAAATGATCAACTTAGTAATCCAGTTACACATGCTACTTCACAAAAGAGTGTTAAGAAGACAAATAGTACCATTATTTTAGCAACAGCTCTAATTCTCATAAAAGATTCTACCGGAACGTACCAAATGGGCCGAGCGCTTTTAGATTCATGTTCGCAAGTGAATTTCATTACCGATTCTCTAGCACGGGCTCTAAACTTAAAAAGGTCGAGATCTGAAATAGATATCGTTGGTGTTGGTTCTTCTGTGCTGAAAATTCAACATAATACGCAAACTACAATCCGATCACGGATAACCGAGTTTGAAACATCACTAGATTTTCTCATTTCAAAGAACATTAGTAGCTATCATCCAGATAAAGCATTTTCGTTGAAAGATTTAAATATTCCATCACATATGGAACTTGCAGATCCAGAATTTAATGTCCCTAAAGGTATTGATATGTTACTTGGAGCAGAAGCTTTCTGTTTGTTGTTAACGCAAGGTCGAATGTCTTTGGGTAAAAACTTACCAATTTTACAAAATACTGAATTTGGTTGGATTGTATCCGGAAGGTATGCTTTGTCACATAAACCGATTGAAGCAGTCAGTCATTGCACCATCACTTCAATCGAAGCTTTGAACAAAAATATTGAAAAAATGTGGCAACTAGAAGACGTCTCTAATAAACGTCAGAAGTGGTCAGAGGAACAAATCATGTGTGAACAACATTTCATTGATAATGTATCTGTAAACTGTGATGGAAGAATTATGGTAAAACTACCATTTAAAAATAGTACAGATTTATTAGGTAACTCTAAAGATATTGCGTTACGTCGATTTTATGCTTTGGAAAAAAAGCTTGAAAAGAATATTCAGCTCAAAGAAGAATATTCAAAATTCATGAAAGAATACGAAGAATTGTTACATATGTCATTGATTCATAGTCCAAATTTATCAATACCTCATTATTATATTCCGCATCACTGCGTGCTGAAGTCAAGTAGTGAATCAACTAAGTTACGCGTGGTGTTCGATGCTTCTTTCAAAACGGCATCACAGGTCTCACTAAATGACATCCTTGCAGTGGGTCCTACCATACAAAAAGAATTACTCATTAATCTGCTACGTTTTCCTTGCCATAAATATGGACTTATGCGGACATAACGAAAATGTATCGTCAGATTATGGTACATCATCAGGATAGGAATTATCAGTTAATTTTTTGGCGCAATGACAAGTCGTTACCCGTATCAACATACATGTTAAATACAGTGACTTACGGAACTGCTGCTGCTCCATTTCTAGCTATACGTAGTTTATCCTATGCAGTCGATACATATCCTGGTAACCATGAGCTTGGAAAATCAATAATAAAAGACGATTTTTATGTTGATGATATGTTAACAGGGGCTGATGATTTACTTCGCCTTCAACAAATTAAAAATGAAGTTACTGACATACTTCAATACTTTCAAATGCCGTTATCCAAATGGCATAGTAATCACCCTGATTTAAATTGTTCTGCAGCGTGCTCCATCACTACCAATAGTGATGTAACTAGTGCACTTGGTGTAATTTGGTGTCCAATTGATGATTATTTTACGTTCAATTTTAAATTGAATGATTCTTCAAATACCATTTCCAAGCGATCAATCTTATCTACAGTCGCAGCATTATTTGATCCAATGGGGTTGATTAGTCCGATTATTATAAAGGCTAAGATACTTCTTCAGAAACTGTGGATCTTGAAGTATGATTGGGATGACGCAGTATCTGACACAATTTCACAGGCTTGGAGAGAAATTATCATCAATTTTGAACAAATATCTACTTTCAAAATTCCTCGTTTTGTTTTAATGTTAAATCCAGTCAGTATAGAAGTTCATGGATTCGCTGACGCTTCAACAAAGGCTAATGGTTGCTGCATATATTTTAAATGCACGGATGCAATTGGCAATATATGTACCAAACTCGTGACTTCCAAATCTAAAATTGCTCCTTTGAAACAACGGTCACTTCCCCGTTTAGAGCTTTGCGCGGCTCACCTTCTGTCTAAATTTTAGCATCAACTTCAACCTAATTTCAAAAGGTCTTTTGATAACGTATTTTTTTGGACGGATTCACAAATTACGTTGCATTGGATTCATACTCATTCTTCAACATTATCAACATTTGTTGGAAATAGAATAGCAGAAATACAAGAATTGACTAATGGCTTTGAATGGAGATATATACCATCAGAATTAAACCCAGCAGATCTAGTATCTCGTGGATGTTCTACGCGAGATTTAGTTAAGTCCCAATGGCTAACGGGACCATCGTTCCTCAACAGTTCAAAAATTGATTGGCCTTTAGAATTTACTTCGTATTCATTGACTGATGAAGAAGTAAATTTAGAAAGAAAAAAAACGGCATTTATAATTGAAAATAAACCCGTACCATACGTTTTGCTTAAAATAAACAATATTAGTAACTACTTAACATGTTTAAGAGTAATAGCATACATTATCCGCTTTAAAACTCGATTGAAAAATGAATACATTTCTGCTACTGAGCTTGACAATGCTCTTCATATAGTAGTGTGGGTAATTCAACAATACAGATTTAGTGATGAAATTAAACAATTGGAACAGGTGGGTCATGTTAAAGGAAATTTAGCCACATTAGCGCCATTCATTGATAAAAGCGGAAATTGTTTCTTATTACGTGTTGGAGGTCGTCTAACAAATGCTGATACACCAGAAACATTTAAACATCAATTGTTGTTACCAAAGGATGAACCATTTGTTCAACATCTGGTAATGTACTTTCATCGGGTTAACTATCATGTTGGCCCTCGTGCATTAGTTGCAACTATTCAACAACGTTTTTGGATAATAAATTGCAAATCATTAGCAACTTCAGTTATAAAAAAATGTGTCCATTGTGCACGATATAAAGTCAAACTAATCAATCAAATAATGGCACCTTTACCAAAGGAAAGGGTTACACCTAGCAGACCTTTCACAGTTACAGGCGTTGATTTTGCTGGGCCTATTTTTACATATTTAAAAATTCGTGGTAAAGCACCGTATAAATCATACATTGCGGTTTTTATTTGTTTTGCTACTAAAGCAGTTCATTTAGAGGCCGTTACTGATTTAACTAGTGATGCATTCATTGCTGCTGTAAAGCGATTTGTGGGACGACGAGGTTTGCCAAGGATAATACATTGTGACAATGCGACAAATTTTGTGGGTGCTGAAACAAAATTAATAGAACTTCGAAAAAATTTTCATCAAGATTGCATGAAAAATGCAATTATTTCTCACTGTGCAAAGTCAGGAATAGAATTTTCATTTATTCCTCCTCGCGCCCCACATTTTGGGGGTCTTTGGGAGGCTGCTGTAAAAACTGCCAAAGGCCATCTATATCGCACATTGTCTAACGCTCATCTTACGTTCGAGAACTTACAACATCATTAGTCGAGATTGAAGCAATCATGAATTCTCGACCGCTCACAGCAACTTCAACAAACCCCAATGATTTCGAATCTCTGACGCCTGCGCATTTTTTGATTGGTACATCATTACAAGGTATTCCTGAGCCGTTTTTAAAGAACGAAAATATTGTACATGCCCAACGCTGGCAACGAATATCAGCAGCAAAAACACACTTTTGGAAGAGATGGCAGAGCGAATATTTAGCAGACTTGCAGAACCGATATCGTTGGAAATATGATCAAGGTAATGTTGCAGTTGGCAACTTGGTTATCATTTATGACGAGCACGCTCCTCCGATGAAATGGGTAATGGGTCGTATTGTGAGTGTGAAAACAGGCGCTGACGGACGTGTTCGCGTTGCTGATGTACAAACACCAACAACAGTTTTACGACGCCCTGTTGCTAAGTTGGCACTTATTCCAATTAATTGAAATTTAATATTTCAATAGGGGCCGGGATGTTAAGCCAACTTGGCATCATAATATTTTTCTTTTTTATATGTATTAATATTAACTAATGTTATTTTTTAAATTAGAGATCAATTAAGTGTAACAAATGTTCTGTATCACGATAGAATAATCAATTGTAACAATTTATTTGTAACATTTGTATTGTTTTTAAAAACCTGTTTTTACATTGTTGTTGTGGTTTTTTTTTTATATACGAAGAAAATAAAATTATGGTTCGTGCGTTCACGTGCTTAACGAATTATCAATTGTCGATTTTTTAATTTATTTTTCAATTTTAACAAACCCATTCGAACCGTGGGTAAAAAAAGGAGGTGAATTGGTGCAAGAGCTCAGTATTTAAGGTTTGATCATAAACTAGGAATACTTTACAATTCACTCTTTTTTACAAGAATGTTACGGGACGATTTATCATACGTCTTCCTTTTATAAATGACAGATTCGCTTTGGGAGATTCGAAAGACATTGCTACAAATAGATTTCTAGCACGAGAGCGTAGACTTTCAAAGGATAGTCACCTCAAACGACAATACGTAGAGTTTTTAGATGAATATGAAAAATTGGGACATATGACCGAAATAGATATTGAAAGGATTATGTCACCACATTACTTTATACCACACCATTGTGTGCTTAAACCTGATAGTACCACCACTAAGTTACGTGTGGTATTTGATGCATCATCCAAAACAACATCAGGGCAATCTCTCAATGATTTACTACACATCGGACCAACTGTTCAAAGTGAATTACTATCTATTTTATTACGATTCCGTCTTCCTCGTTATGTGTTTACAACAGACATTGAAAAGATGTGCCGACAAATACTTGTACATCCAGAAGACAGACAATGTCAGCTTATCGTTTGAAGAAATGAACCAAGTCAACCTATAAAGTACTTTGAACTCAACACAGTAACATATGGTACAAGATCAGCACCGTATCTAGCAACCAAATGTTTGCAAGTTTTAGCTGATGACAATATGCAAAATTATCCATTAGGTGCATCTGCTCTCAAACAAAACTTCTATGTAGATGACTGTTTACACGGGGCAGATAGTCTGAGAACATTGTTGGAAACTCAGAGTCAATTAAACAAAATACTGACAGCAAGCGGTTTTAAATTGCGAAAATGGTGCGCAAATCATCCAAGTCTACTACAAGGAATTCCACATGATGACTTAGAAGTCAATTTAGATTTAGAAAATAATAACGATACAACAAAAACTCTTGGGTTATCCTGGTGTCCAAAATCTGATAGTTTATGCGTCAAGGTTAAATTGGAACCTGTTTGCAGCACGACGAAGCGCAGTGCAACCTCAGATTTCGCAATGCTATTCGATCCACTAGGACTTTTGTCACCAGTTGTGGTGATGGCAAAGATTTTTATTCAAGAATTAAAGATGATTTAAAGATGGATTGGGATGAAAAACTGCCGACTGAATTACATAAACAGTGGTTAGAGTTCCGGAACAATTTGACAAAAGTAAATTGTCTGCAGATATCTCGTCATATTTTCAAAGGCGAAGTTCCTGCCAACATTCAATTACACATCTTTACAGATGCATCAGAAAAGGCATATGGTGCTGCAGCGTATTTGCGATCAAAACTTCAGAATGGTCAAATTATTGTACGACTATTGTGCGCCAAATCTCGGGTTTCACCTTTGAAAAGGTTGACATTACCTCGTCTCGAACTTTGTGCAGCTGTGGTTGGCGCAGAACTAGCAACAAGAATAAAGAACGATCTACAAATAAGAAATTACCAGACGTTCTTTTGGTGTGATTCACAAATAGTGATATCATGCATCAACTCTCCATCATCAAAGTTTCACACTTTCGTTGCAAACCGAGTAAGCAACATTCATCAATTAACAGCCACAAGTCAGTGGCGCCACGTCAGTTCGGAACACAATCCAGCTGACATTTTATCAAGAGGCCTTGCACCCCATAAACTACAGTCATCAAGTATGTGGTTTTATGGACCTATGTTCCTGCATGGTCGGGAAAAACTGTGGCCTTCAAAACCATCATCAGCGTTAAAATCCGAAACCCTCATTGTTCCTGAACGGAAGAAGGAAACTCCAGTATCTACATTGTCTGTTGTTGAAGGCACAGTAAATCCTGGAGAGTTCATATACTCAATACGACACAACAACTCATTTGGAAGACTTCAACGGATATTATCGTATATATTAAGATTCGTAAAAAGAACCAGAAGAAAACAAAATGATCATTCAAGCAATTTTTTGACTCCAGATGATCTAGATGCAGCACATCAGGTCATCATCAAAAGTATTCAATATGCAGAATTCAAAAATGAAATCAAAATTATGAAATCTGATGGAAGAATAAATAAGTTCAGTGCATTGGCATCACTGGCACCTTTTATTGATAATACAGGCATCATAAGAGTTGGTGGACGGTTGGATGCAGCCTCATTATCGTATGACGCCAAATATCCTATGTTGTTACCTTATAACGACCCCATTGTCAAATTAATAATGAAACAAGTCCATAAGAAATACATGCACTGTGGTCCGCAGTCTCTCCTAGCTAACATGCGTCAACGATACTGACCAATTAAGGGCAAATTGATGGCAAGGTCAGTAGTACAACATTGTGTACGTTGTACTAAAGTAAGACCACGATTTTATGAACAACTGATGGGTAATTTGCCAGCGACAAGAGTACAACCTGGGCGACCATTCCTCACCACTGGAGTAGACTTTTGCGGACCCTTTTGGATACATTACAGAATCCGAGGCAAGAAACCACACAAGGCATACATTGCTGTGTACTGTTGTTTTACAACTAAGGCAGTTCACCTCGAAGTAGTTAGCGATTTAACCACAGATGCATTCATCGGATAGCTGAAACGTTTTATTGCTCGAAGAGGACACTGCAAAAATTTGTTTTGTGACAATGCCACAAATTTCGTGGGAGCAAGCAATCAATTACTTGAACTTGCAGACTCAATTCAAACAAGCAAGGCACAAGAGAAGATAATTAACGAATGTAATGAAAGAGGAATAACATTTAAATTTATACCTCCTCGTGCACCGCACTTCGGTGGACTGTGGGAAGCAGCAGTCAAATCAGCAAAACACTTATTGATACGAAGTACTAAGACGACTTCACTAACATATGAGGAACTAGAGACTGTGGTATTAGAAGTCGAAGCAATACTGAACTCTCGACCATTGACACCTATGTCGAGTAATCCGAATGACTTGTCAGCACTAACACCTGGTCATTTCTTAATTGGAGAACCACTCACAGCAATGGCAGATGCAAAGGCCCAATCAGGAAATATAAATCTGGTGACAAAGTGGAAATTAGTTTCTCGCCTCAAATTGGACTTTTGGGAACGTTGGAAAACCGAGTACCTCACTGAACTACAATGTCGACACAAATGGAAAGCAGCCAATCTAAATATAAAAGAAGGTACCCTTGTAATCATCAAGGAAGACAATGTTCCTACATTAAAATGGCCGCTTGGACGTATTTCAAAGGTATATAAGGGAGATGACGGTCTTGTTCACGTGGTCGATGTTAGAATGGCATCAGGAACTCTAAGACAAGACAAGATTTTTGACAAGACTAGCGCCTCTGTTGCCAGCCGATGAACAATCTCCTGTTTCTGATGAACAACTTTCAAAAAGTTTTACAAAAGCGAATTCGAAAACACCACACGAAGACGCAGATCAAGACGAGCCACCTAAAAAGTATTCACGGCCAATGTCTAATTCATTACTGTGCACAATGTTATTATCTCTATTATTCTTGCCATTGGTATTAGGGAATTCAGTGAATGTAACACGTTTCGACAATAATTTAGGAATATACTTTGAATCCATTGGCTTGATGAAAGTAGCAACGGCAGAATGGAAAATGATTGTTTACTATGATCTTCATCCATATTGGACCGAAATAGACTCCTTCAAAAACGGGACTAAAACTATCAAACGTTTATGTTCAGAATTGCAAGCACATACAGCATGTACTTCTCTCTATACTCATTTTAAACATGTAAGAGATGAATTGTTGCAAGACCAAACATTATTATATAAAAGCCGGAACAAGCGAGCTGCAATTAACATAGTAGGAAATATTGCACACACCTTATTCGGAGTGCTTGATTCAGACTACGCTGAGAGCATGTCTGACACAATAAACCAACTTAACAGTAGAGATGATTATGCAATGCAGTTAATTCATAATCAAACATCTATTATAGATTCCACAATAAATATAATCAAACGAGATGAAGTTACCATGCAGTCCCGAATGAATCATTTGCAAAAGCAGGTTGATGAGTTTCTGAATAGAATTGGAACTACAACAGAACAAATACATGTCACTCAATTACTACTTTCATTATCTGCAGAACTCACATTAATGGTATCCAATCTTCAACACATCCAGTCGGAGATAATTGATGTGCTTACAGACACACATCATGGGAAAATCAGTCCACTGCTATTAACTCCTGATCAATTAACAAAGGAGATTAACAGAATCAAAGGCCACTTACCATCATCGCGTACACTACCGTTCACAGAAGACAATTTGACCGATTTTTACAAGCTAATGAAAGTAAAGTCAACAATTAAAAATCAGCATGTATTATTTTTAATACAACTACCACTGCTAGACAAGCAGCAATTTGAATTGTTCAAGACAACACCGATACCGGTTGTAATAAACAAAACCATGATAATTATCAAAACTGAAGTGGAGTACTTGGCAACCAACACTGTTCGAGATCAGTACATTCCATTTGATGACCATGAGTTACGGGAATGTTTTTTAACCAAGGATAATATATACCTTTGCGCTAATAAACAAACAAGACTAGGTATAGCATCATCGGTACGTTCATGTGAAATTAATCTATTTAATGGTAATCAGTCAACAACATGCAATATAATAAAACTTCAAGGAAATATTGCATTGAAACAACTACACAACCCGAACCAGTGGCTATACGCAACAAAACTTGAAACATTGATGTCAGCTAGTTGTGAGACCTACTTGAGTCAGTTCTCACTGAAAGGATCCGGAATGCTTACATTTGAACCTACGTGCATCATTAAAAACGCAGAAATAACCATACATGGCCACTATTTTATATCCAGCATTGTATCCACGTCATTTCCACGATTTGGAAATTTATCAACAGTTGTACACATTAATGAGATGCAGAAAATCTTCAATACAACACCAAATGATGTAAAAACACAACTCAAAGAACTCACAGAATTGCAAGGCCGGCTAACTAAGGAAAACTTGACATATCTTCCCTCTAGAGTGCGATTAAACAGTATTCATCATCATACGATAAGTTATTTGGCGTTGTTAATTTCTATAACAATAATCATAATCATTACTTGGAAAACCAAACACAACAGATGTCAGAAACACACAATAAGCGAAATTTCAACACGAGGAAATGATATGCAAAATGCAGAATTACGTCAACAAAATTTGGACTTCACTGTGACCACAACCTAGGACAAGTTGAGTTGGCACTCAACGGCGGGGAGAATGTTTATGTTTGCATTCAATATTATTTAATATTTTTGTTTTTTTTGTTATTTGTTTACCTGTGTTTACATATTATTTGGGCCAACACTGCGACCAGTCATTGACCAACGAAAAGTGCAATTTTGCATTATCAGCTTTTCTTGTTGGTCAATGCACTGAAGAAAGTGTGTAATATGTTGGCCTATAATTATGTCAGCACAGCGTAGGCAAATTTATTTATTTGTGAATTATGCATTAATATTTATTGTTAATTAATGCATAATTTAATAGCTTTTTAATAAAATAATTTTGTATAAATATAAGAAATAATTTTAATAAAGTTCAGAAGGAAAAGAAAAAGAAACGAAATCAATTATAACTTTCTTACTTTCTCGCATCGATTAGTTTGGGTTTCAAGTGCTCAAACTAATCAACATAGAAAATACAAGTAGTTTGGGTTACAAGTGCTCAAACTACTTTACACATAAAAATTGGCTACCAAGATAACACAGATTAAGGATCTGGGTTAGCACCAAGTAGCGTACACACCCCTTTTGGAATAATTCTGCCTCTTACCCTAGAGGCACTAGGCTATTCAACTGGCTGACTAGCAGCTCAGTTAGCCCTATTTTAGGTGTGGTAGCTCCATCGGTTCCGACTCACGTCAATAGTATTTTAGTATATTCCATATCGAATGTAACGAACGACTGACTCGTGCACAAGTGCTGTTGCTCTATATATGCATTCATTGCGTGTCCGTGTTTCGTGTCGTTCATATGTTCTAGCATGCACATGTTTGGCTGGTGCTGCGAATGTGCACATGTTTGGCTGGTGTTGCGAACGTGCACATGTTTGGCTGGTACTGCCACAGTACCCCCCTCATAGCGGGGGAGCGCATGTAATACCGCGCTATCGCCTTGTTATCGCTCTATTTGGTGAATGCGCGCAACTTGGCTGGAAAGTGCACAGTTTTGCCTGCGCGTGTGACCACAGATCTGGTTTCCTGCTGGTCTTTAAGGACGGTTTCGACTCCTGGTGCTTGTACTGAAGGCGGTTCGGTTGTTCTGCTGCTGTCAATGCCATCTGAAGTCATGAATGCTAGTTTCAGCCTGTCTACTGCTACTGTGACGTCTTTATCTTTCACGCTTATGACGTAGTTTTTTTCATCGCGACGAACTACTCGATAAGGGACCTCGTAAAGCTGTTCTAATGGTGCCCGTACGCGATCGATGCGTAGGAATACATACTTGCCCTCTGACAGCTCGCTGGGTACAAAGACTGGTTGTTGACCGTGTCGCAGTCCAGATTGAGTTCGTACATTACCTAAATTTCTGCGCAGTAACTTTACGAAGTCGGTTTCGCTTGGTTTGATTTTGACTTCTGTCAGCAACTCTCCCGGGACTCTGAGAGGGTTGCCGTATAACATCTCTGCCGGACTGGCGTATATGCCTGCTTTCGGCGCTGTCCTGAGGCCCAACATTACTAAAGGAAGAATTTGGGTCCAGTTACTGAAATCGTGACAACGTATGGCTGCTTTCAGTGTTCGGTGAAACCGCTCGACCATGCCATTGGCTTGGGGGTGGTAGGCAGTTGTGCGCCAATGCTTTATTCCTAGTAGTTTCGTCACCTCTGTAAATATAGTGGACTCAAATTGACGTCCTAAGTCGGTTGTGACTGCATGCGGGGTGCCGAATGTGAAACCCAGCCATCGATGAATGCTGCTGCCACCTCTTCTGCTGTGATGCCCACTAAAGGAATGGCTACTGGCCAACGCGAAAAACGATCGATGCATGTGAGAATATAACGCTTTCCATGCGACGGTGGCAATGGGCCCACTATATCCAAGTGAATGTGTTGAAATCAGCCATCTACCGCTGCAAAAGAACCGATACTCGTACGGGTATGGCGTTGAATCTTGGATTTTTGGCATGCAACACACCTTCGGACGAAAATTGCTGTATCTTTAGCTATACCGGGCCACACGTATTTTGTTTGGACGATTTTGCGAGTTGCCCTGATTCCGGGGTGAGACAGGGAGTGAAGCTTGGACAAAACCTGCTGCCTGCAATTTGCTGGGACGTATGGGCGAATGTGAGTGCTGGAAACATCGCAGTACAGTTCAACGTCTGAATCTGGTAGTTTCCATTTTTTTAATACTAACGTTTTTTCGGGCTGGTTGTCTAACAATTTCTGCAGCTCTGGGTCTGTTGTTTGTTCAAACGCAATTCTTTCCACCTCGCTTGCTTCACACTGGACTGCTGCAATTCGAGAAAGGGAGTCCGCTACCACATTATCAGCTCCCGCTATGTGACGGATATCGGTCGAATATTGGCTCACAAACTCTAGTTGTCGTGCTCGTCTAGGAGATGCTCTTTCGCTTGCTTGCTGGAATGCATACGCGAGTGGTTTGTGGTCGGTGAATATTATAAACTCGCGGCCTTCTAACGCATACCGGTAATATTGGACAGCTTGATAAACCGCTGTCAACTCTCGATCATAGGCGCTGTATTTCATTTGAGCTGGACTCAATTTTCTTGAGTAGAACGCCAATGGCTGCTGCACTCCGTTTACTACTTGCTGGCGAACGGCCACAACTGCGTCTCCTGAGGCATCAGTTGTAAGAGTCAGCTGTGCATCTGGCGCCATAAAGCTAAGCAGGGCGGCCTGCGCCAGTTCATCTTTACACTGCTGAAACGCCGCCACGGCATCAGGCGTCCAGGTGATTGCTGTTTGATCATTTTTGCGATTGCCAGGCGTTAGCGAAAACAAACGTTGTTGACTGTGAGCGGCACCTCGCAAGAATGGGCGATAGAAGTTTATCATGCCTAGAAACTACCGTAACTGCTTAACGGTTTTAGGTAGCGGGAACTCACGTACAGCCTGCACTTTACTCTCTGGGGGGCGAAATCCGTCGGCTTCAATCACATGTCCCAGAAACTCGATCTTCTTCTGACCAAACTCACACTTACCGAAATTCACTGCTAATCCAGCTTGTCTTAAACGTTCGAACACTTCACGTAAGTGCTGTTCATGCTCTACGTGGTTCTTAGATGCGATGAGGATGTCATCAATATAAGCGAATGCGAAGTCTAAGTCACCCAACGTCTGGTTGATGAATCGCTGGACCGTTTGAGCTGCATTGCGGAGTCCGAAGGTCATAAATTTGAATTCGAACAAGCCGAACGGGGTTATAATGGCTGTCTTTGGTATGTCCGCGGCTGCCACTGGAATCTGATGGTACGCCTTCTGCATATCTATCTTTGAGAACACAGTTTTTGCTTGTAGGATAGACGTCACGGCATGTATAAATGGAATTGGGTAGCGGTCGGGCTTCGTCTGTGCGTTTAGCATTCGATAATCGCCGCACGGTCGCCAACTTCCATCACCTTTACACACCATATGGAGTGGGCTAGCCCAACAGCTTTTAGATGGCTGGCAGATACCTGCTTGCAGTAAAAACTGGAACTCATTCTTAGCTTCTTCGAGTTTGCTGCCAGTTAGACGTCTCGGCTGTGCGAATGTTGGTAGGCCTGTCGTTTCGATGCAGTGCTCCACCGTTGTAACGGTACTTCGTCGATTCATGCTCATTGTCGCCAGGTTACGGTACTCATGTAACAGCTCGACGTACTTCGTACCTACGCTGTATATGCGCACCTCTATCGTTTGCACCTTGGCTGTATCACCTTTAGCCGCCATAGTGGTTTTGTTGTCTACCAGTCGCTTTCGTTTCATATCCACCAATAGGTCATAGTGCCTTAGGAAATCGGCACCGACGATAGGGCATCTGACGTCTGCTACTACGAAAGTCCATGGGAAATCTCTGCCCAACCCAAGGGACAACTAAAGACGCTTCTCCCCGAACGTGCCAATGGGAGTGCCGTTGGCTGCAAACAAATTCACTAATGAAGCGCTGCTAGTTTTGCACGAATTACGCAAAAATGACCGCGGAATCACTGAGATGTCGGCACCCGTATCTATCAGAAATATGGTGGACGTTACTGGATCTTTAATGGTGAGTCGAGCTAATTGTATGCTGCCTTCGTTGCGGCTCGACGACGGCGAAGGAGCGCTTAGTTTTTGTGTGCGATGATGCTGTAAAATTACATGGCTGTCTGCAAGTACGAGCCTTGCGCCCAAACCTGGAGTGGAACCAGCACCATTCTGGATAACTGCTCGATTGGGAACGTGGTTGGCTGCAGCCCCTCATTGAACGCCTACCTTGCTGTTGACGGGAGTTCATGTCTAGACGACTCAACCGTTGCTCGATTTGGTATAAGCGCTGACACACTTTTTCTGCTTCGGACCAGGTACTATCGCTGCCTGAAGACATTACCGAGATCTGGTGATAATCTCCTACCTCGCAAATCTTGTCAGCCAATTTGGCTAACTCGCTCAGTTCTACGCTTGATGTTTGAAGAATCGCGCGCACTTGTGGAGGCAAACGCTTTTTCATTTCAAGGTCATTTTTTATCTTTTATCTTATTTCAACAGTTATTAATATATACTCATTTAATAGATAATTAAAATATCTTTTTAATAAGATACGGATGAGCAAAATCGGTTAAAAATTATGCGCAAAACACAATAATTAGTTGAGCGACTGTGCTCTGTTTTCTATTTCATACCTTTTAGCTGGCATGCACAATGCAATCGCAAATGTTAACAAGAAACGGAAGAAACATAAATAAAAAATAAAAATAATACATTTCTACTTTTTAATTTATAAAGATATATAAGTAGAATTGAAAATGTAGCCAAAACAAGAATTTTTTCGTAAGCAAAGAGAAAATAGTTGTACAGGGACTATGATTGAAGTTAATATCCTTTTAGCAAACGAAGCAAGAGCAGCTAAAAATTCCATTGAATTTAATTGGAATAAATTCGATGAAGAAATTGTCTCAAAATGGAAGCTGAATCTGTAGTCACAGTTCAACAAAATTGGGATAACGCAGACAGAACGATTCAATTTATCACTTCTATTTTAGTTT